AAAAATAATCTATCACATAGAGTCAAAAACAAAAATCATCTCAATATAATCTGAAAAAGTATTGGACAAATGTAGCACCCATTCATGTTAAAAATGTTAGAGAAACTAAGAATAAAAGAAACTTTCTCCCACACTGTAAAGGCTACATACAATAAATCCAAGGTCTACATATATTTAACAGAGAAAAACTGAAAGCATTTCCTCTAAAATCAGGAACAAGACAAGAATGCCCACTCTCACCACTCCTATTCAAGACAGTTCTTCAAACTATCAGAACAATCAGGCAAGAAAAGAAAAGGAATACAAATAGGAAAAGAAGCCAAATTATGTTTGCTAATGACATGATCCTTCCTTTAGAAGACCCAAAAAACTCAACCAGAAGACTTCTAGAGCTGATAAATTCAGCACAGTAACAAGATACAAGATAAACATAAGTAAATCAATCATTTTCCTATACTCCAATAATAAATCTACTGAGAAAGAAAGAATGAAAATTATTTCATTCACAATAACCTAAAAACAAGCATGAGGAATAAATTTAATTAAAGTGGTTAAAGATTTCTACAATGAAAAATATAGAATATTGAAGAAAGGAACTAAAGAAGATCCTAGAAGACATAAAGGATATTCTTGTATAGGAAGAATTAATATTGTAAAAATGGCCATACTACAAAAAGCATTATACAGATTCAATGCAAGCTCTACCCCATCCAAATCCAATGACATTTTTCACCTACTCACATTCTAACTTTTATTCATATTCTCTCTCCCTGTCTTTCTAATTCCATCATTTCTGAATACCTTTCTTCAACAAACGATATCTCAAGTCTTCTTACATGCTGAATTTTTTTTTTTTGGTAGTGCTGGGGATTGAACACAGAGCTTTGTGTATGAGAGGCAAGCACTCTACCAACTGAGCTGTGTCCTCAGCCCACACTGAATTCTTAATAACTCAAAACAGTCATCTCAAATATTAATTAATTAAACTGATAAAAATCCACACCTCAAAGGTAGCAATAATAATAGTAATGACAACAGGGACTGACCGGAGCTACCCATAAACAAAGTGCCTCATCATAAAAGACAGTTTTATAGTAACTTGCTTAGAGCTATTAATTCTTAGCCTAAATGGCTTGAGTAAGAATAACTGTATATGGGCATTGTTTTTTTCTATTTAATTTTCTAGTCCCCTTCCCTGATAAAAGACTGCTATATAACACTTCTTATTTAGTAGATTTGTCTCTAGAACTTCTCTATCACACCAAGTACATTAAAACTTTATCTCAATGAGAATCTTTAAACCTGCATCTAAAATTAGTTTTCATCCTGGAAGAAATGATCTGATGACCTATCCATGAGTTTTAAACTGTACAACACCTACCTGACTACCTCAATCCCAAAGAAAGATTTTAAGAAATCACTGGTTTAATAAGAGATTTGCACAAGGAAAAAATATTACTATTACTGATTCTCCTTTTGTTTGTTTAAAACAGAAATTAGGAAAAAATTAACTGATTTACTGCCTCTTTAGAAGAGCTTTGGCAAAAATAGATTAAAACTTTAGCAATATATCCACAACACTCTTTTACATGGAAAACAAAACAAAACAAAACCCAAAGTTTTTTTGAAATGGATCTTTAATCTAGACTTTAAAGTCAGGTTTTGCAAAAACAGCACCACTTCACAAGTTAAACTCAGATTAAACTTAGATATGTGCTGTTCAATACAGTATCAACCAGCTATATGTAACTATTTAAACTAAATAAAATTTAAAACATTATTCCTCAGCCACACTAGCCACATTTCAAGTGCTTATTAGCCACATGTAAGTAGTAGTTACCGTATCAACAATGTGGATGTAGAACATCTTTCTATCATTGCAATAGTTTAGATGATGCTGGTCTAGGGAACTTAGTCACTTAGATTCTCATTTTCAATTACCTATCTATACTGTCCAAATATTGTATAGCAGGTTTGCATTATTAGGCAAAATATAAACAATGTAAAACTTGCCACTTCTATTCTTAAGGATTCAACTCAGTAGAATTAATTAAAAATACAAAGTTACGCAATCATCACCTCTATTTCCAAAACTTTTCAAGATGGCAAACACAAACTTTTCAACTGTCAAGCAGTAATTCCCCATTTTAACCTTCTTTCAGGCCCTGATGATCTCTACTTTTCCTTAATTTCCCTAAAGTCTCTATGAATATGTTCTTTCTACTTATTAACTAGAATCAAACAATAGTTGTCATTTTTTATCTAGCTTATTTCACCTACTTTAATGTTTTCAATGTTTAAACTCACTGTAGTGTATATCAGAAGTTCGTTCATCTTTATGGCTAATATTCTACAATATATACATACACACTTTGCTTATCCATTCATCTGTTGATGGACATGTAAACAGTTTCCGCCATTGCTGACTGAGGTAAATAATGCTACAATGAAAACTGGCTACAAGTGAGTTTCATTACCTGTTTTTAGTCTTTTGGTTATACACCTAGATCTAAGATTGCTGGTCATACACTAATTCTGTTTAGCTTTTTGAGAAAATACCAACCAATTTTCTACTGTGACTGCACCATATTACATTCCTACAAGCAAAGTATATAAAGGTTCCAATTTCTTCAGATTTTTATGAACATTAGAACTTCTGTGACTTTTTTATTATAACCATCCTAGTGGGTGTGAAATGGTATTTCACTTTGGTTTTAATTTTTCTTATTCTAAAAATCAACAATAGTATTCATATTTTTCATGCAGTTCTTGGTCATTTGAAGATCATCTCTAGAATTTCTTTATATATTTTGGACAGCAAATCCTCATTAGATATTTCTCCCATTCTAGAAACTTCTCTTTTACTTCTGTGATAATATCCTTTAATACATAACATTTTAAACTTCTGATGAAAAGAAATTTATTTCTTCTTTTGTTTCTTATGCATTTGTTGTCACATTTCAGAATCCACTGCCAAATCTAAGTTCATTAACGTTCATTCCTGTATCTTCTACTTATTCACAAGACTTCGATCTACTTTGAATTAAATTTTGTGTATGATGTACAGGTAAGGATCTACTTCTTACACATGGATATGATCAATCCCCACACAAAAGTTAGTTGTTTATATACACCTCCAATGTGTTTGTCTTTTTAACAAATGATGAGGCAGTTGGATTTCCATATGTAAAAAAAAGTTGTTTATATACACCTGCAATGTGTTTGTCTTTTTAACAAATGATGTGTGGGGGTTGTTTCCTATGGGGGTTGATCATATCCTACTAGTTTCTTACATATGAAAATGCAACTGCCTCATCATTTGTTAAAAAGACAAAAAGTCACTATAAATAAAGATAGTTTTACTTCTTCCTTTCTCATTTGGATGTTAAATGTCTTGAATCTCTTTTTTTATACTAATTGTTTTGTTCACTGACTGGACCTGATATTCTTCTCAAAAATTAACTATTGATAGAAATCTGCATTTCTTTCTTTTCTTTTCTTTGCACTTAGGGATTGAAACCAGGGCCTCAAACATGCCCCACTGTTTCTTGACTAACTTTTAGTGCACTTGTCTTTATGCCAGTATCAGTGTGTTTTGATTAGTATAATGTTTTGAAATCAGGAAGCATGAGTTCTAACATTTCATTCTTCTTTTTCAAGATTGTTTTGGTTATGTGGTCACTGAAGTGCCTTAAAATTCTCTAAAACTTGGGGACTGTTTTTGTTTTTTTTTTTTTTATTTCTAAAAAAAAAAAAAAACCAAAATTGGAACTATGATACATACAGATGTTCTTAAATCTACAGATCAATTTGGGTAGTATAGGCAACTTAACATATTAACTCTTCTGACCCAAGAACAAGGAAGGTTATTTTCTTTCATTAGGTCTTTTAAAACTTCTGTTAGCAATAACTTTTTAATTTTCTGTGTACTACTCTTTTTTTTTTTTTTTTTGGTTAAATTTATTACTAGGTATTTTATTCTTTTACGTGCTAGTATAAATAGAATTGCTTTCATCATTTCATTTTCAGACAATTCATTGCAGGTATATATAAACACTTAACTTTTGTGGGCAGGGGTTGATCATATCCCTCAAAACTAGTAAATTAATTTATTAGTTCTAATAGCTTTCTTTTGAAGTATTTGGAATTTTCTATATATCTGATTAGTCATTTGTAAATAATGATTGTTTTATTTTTCCGTTTCCATTATGAAAGGTTTATATTTCTTCCTCTTAACTAACTGATCTAGTTAGAACATCTAGTACAATGCTGAGTATCGGGCATACTTCTCTTGTTCCTAATCAGAGAGAAGGCTTTCAGTCTCTCATTATTATATTAGGAGTGGGTTTTTCCATAAATGCCCTCTATTATGTTGAGAAAGATCCATTTTATTCTCTGATTTTGTATATTTTTATGATAAAATGTGTTAGATTTCTTACATTATCTAGTAACCTTTTCCCCATATTAACAGATATTATCATGTATTTGTTTTTTCCCCCTTTCTTCTACTAATAAATCTGGTGAAAGGTAGTGACTTATTTTCTTCTTATACTAAATGAGCTTTGCCTTCCTGGGATAAATCCTACTAGTTCACAGGGTCTAATCCTTTTCATATGTTGTTGAATTAGGTTGGCTACTATTTTGATCAGGATTTTGAAAGCATGTAGTTTTTAAATAACTGTAAGAAAATACTGTAAACACAGAGCTAAAGCTCACATTAATCTTTAAAAATACTTATTTTAATTAAAGGAGGAATGTATATAAAGTTAGACATGCTATTCAATACTAAAAATTAAAATGAACTAAGAAATAATTTCTCTTTATGCCAATGATTAGTTTTAATCATCTCTTAGTACTGTAACATTTCAAAGATGTCACTTTTATAGGTCTTATTCTTTATTACATGCCTGAAAATAAATAACAAATTTCAAAAAGTCTGTAAGATGAATAACATCATTAATAACTCTATTTCTAAAACAGTAAATATAAAAATATTTTACCCCTTCATAGAAAACTTTTGCACAGTCCTTTGCTAATTTTCCAAAAATTAATACATTGATGGTGTTGACCTCTGAATTTTCTTTTTCTATTGAGAAAAACACAACACATACACATAGAAAAACACTTATTAGATATAGCAGTTTTATAAATAAAATAAAACTGATGACAACTATATCTTTAAAACTAGTTCCTTGAAAACTTAATTATGAAGAAAATAATCAAATTGCTTATGACTCAATTTTAGCTTGCTGTAATACTTTAAGAATTACAAAAGTAACGTATACTACACATGAAAACCAAAATTATAACAAGTTTCAACTAGAATATATCTGGTATAATATTCTATAAATATCACATTAACAATACATAATAGCAACCTTCTACTATTTTTTATGTTTGTAATCAAAAGAAATTGAAAAACTACTAATTATTTAATTTAGAAGTGCCTAAGAGATCTTTCAAAATACTTCATTTTTATTGATGGTCAACTTTAAGTAATCTACAGTTATTAATGCAGAGTCTCCTATACTGCTATTTTCTCTATCAAAATTTCAGGGTACTTTGCAACACAGATTCTGATCTTTCACACTTGCATATATATGTGCTGGGAGAGAAGACCACAGTAGTTTAAGTAAAACCTAATTAAATAATGAGACTACAAAGAAATTTTACTGACAAGGTTGACTAACAATCAGTTCTTTACATGCTCCCTAAAAATATGACCATATTTATTTTTAAAGTGAAAATATCAAGGATGTTAAATACCTAAAAGACCTTATCATATTACTTCTTTTATCTCTAACACAATCCAAACACACGAGCCAAGGATCTAACATACCTAGGAATGAATATTTTTCAAACTGATGTCGAGATCAATTATACTCAATACTTAGAACCAATAAGGCAATGTCATTTTATCAAATCTTTAATAATTAAAAAAGTGTTGAAGAGCAGGGATGCATTTAACATAGTGATAAACTCATTAAAAAATGCTCAACAAATATTTGTGAATAAAGGAAGTAGGTGAAACAAATCTAACTGCTGAGGTGATAATCAGTTCTTCTAAATAATGGCACATCTTGGCCAAATCATTATAACTGTGGAAGAGTTAGACAAATTCTATAAAGAATCTCACTGACATCTTCTATATTGGGGGACAGAATGTCAGACATTCTCATTCTCCAAAGGTTACCCACTTCCTATAAACCACTACAACAGAGCCAGATGCTAAGATTCAATTATATCATCTGAGAGAAGCTAATTTATATTAATTGGCAAACATTTAACTAGTTCAAGACACTCCCTTAGTAGATTTTCTTGTCATACATAAAACATCTTTCCAAAATCTGAAGTCTCTGTTTTTTGACTTGGAACTCTTACATCTGCCACTCTATCAGGTCTAATGGCCTCTGGAATGAAACAACTACCACAGAACTACCTGTTGCTCCTTTTGCTTACCTCCCTCAAAACAAGTATATATGCAAATTCAAATATTACTGTTCCTCAAACACAAAAACTATGGCTACTAATCAAAACCTAACACATTTCTTGAATGTCTTAAATGACCTATAGAATTTTTCTTTTTGGCCATGAAGAAGCAACAAAGACTGGATTTATCCTCCAGCCTTAAAACAGAAGATCAAGAAACAAAATATGTGAAATAACTCTTCTTGGACATTAGACAAAAGAAAGTGAGTTGTGGGGTTTTTTTGTTTGTTTTTTGTTTTTTTAGGAAAGAAAAGCAGTAACCTAGTTCACTTACGGGAGAGATTGAGGGCAACAGAATATGGAGATGGAATCTAAAGTCAAGCAATTTCATTGAGTTAAAAGTCTGAGGACATCACAGTTGTTAGAATTTTCAGGACAGAGTGCAGAAAGGAAGGGAGCCATAAAATGAATGCTTTGAATTTGAATATCATTAGGTGTCCTCAGGTCTTTGGCCATATACTCATCTCCAACCGTATGAGCACTCAGTCCTCTGGGAAAGAGACGAGCCAACTGAATAGAGAATGAAGAACAATCTTGAGATTCACAAAGACCTAGAACAACCAATAGGCTAGAATAGAAAGAGTTTCTCATTTTTTAGAGTACAGAATGGACTCCTCAGAAGGATATTTCCTTAATGACAAGGCCAATATGTCCCAGAATAAAGGCTACTTTGGACCTAATTTAATGAAGCTAATCAAGTTGAATCCAACAAAATATATCCCAAACACTAACAATATTCAAAGGGTAACAAATCTAACATTTGATTATATAAAATTCTAAATATCCAGCATTCAGCAACAAACTGCCAGTCATGTAAACAGGAAAAACAAGGAAACATAAAACAGGAAAAAGGGAAATAAATAAAATGGCCTGGGAATTAAGTAGCTCAGTGGCATAGTACCTAGCACGCTTGAGGTTTTCCATTATTACCAGCAATGAAAAAAAAAAAAAATAGAAAAGATCCATGAACAATAGAAATAACAGCACTAGGAGAGAGGAGTTTAAGGAAGTTAAAAACATATGTTCACAAAAGTACTGAAAATCATGAACATAAGGAAAAATGGAAGATATGAAAAAAGACTCAAGTGAACCTTTTAGAGTTGAAAAATACTGAAAATTGATAATATACTGAATGGGGTTAATAAGTCAATAAACATAGAAGAAAGTGCTACAAAGAACTGGAAAATACAGAAAACCAATAAAACAAAGGCAATTATTTGTAAAGGTCAATTAAACAGACCTCTAGCCAAAAAACAAACAGGAAAAGAACACAGAGAGTAATCTCAAATTACCAAACCAAAAATTAGTAATGAGATATCACTACAAATCTATCAACATTAAAGGAGTATTCAAGAAATGAACAACTTCATGCCAACTGAGATGAACAGAATAATTTCCTTTACAAACACAAACTACCAAAGATTCCTCAAGACAAAGGGACAATTGAACATCCCTACATAAATTAAGACACTAAATTAAGTATTAAAAGATTTCCCATTAAAATAAGGCAGTTGGCTGGCTTTACTAGTGAAATGTATAAACATTAAGGAAGAATTAACAATTCTCCAAACTCTTCCAACAAAGAGAAGGGAAACACTATGTCATGAGAACAGTGTTACTGTGACACTAAAACCAGTCAAAATTATTATAAGAAAAGAATGTTTTAGATCAAAATCTTTCACAAATGTAGATGCAAAAATATTTAACATATTTGCAAATCAAACCAAATAATTATATAAAAAAGATAATACATCAAAACTAAAAAGGATTTAAACCAAGAATACAAGACTGATTTAATGTGGCAAAATCAATAAAAGTAAAATACATATTAACAAACTAAAAATAGAAGAAACTATGATCATTAACAGAGGCAGACAATGCATTTAGCAAAATCCAACATCCAATCATGATAAAACTCTCAACAAAGAATGAACTGAAAAGAATTCCTTAAGTATGATAAAGGACAATTATTAAAAATAAAAGCATGAAAAATTCAGGAATGTATTAAATATGTGCAATATCTGTCCACTGAAAATTTATAACACACTATTAAGAAAAATTAAACAACTAAATAGTGAGTCCTTACAAAGTTAATGCTAACACATGGGTATCATTAACATGTGAAATTTCCAAAGGATCTATAGATTCAGTGCAACAGCAATCAAACCCAATTAATTGTTGCTCATAAATAAAGATAAAACTGATTTTTGTTTACTGATATTTTATTCAGCAGCCTCATAAATTTTATAATTAAATATTATATTTTTCCACTGATAACTTTAGAAATTTTACATATTTAGCAATGCCATCTGTCAGTAATGACATTCTATTAATTCTTTTCTGATCTGTATGCGTTTTAATTCTTTTGTCTTTTTATATGACAAGGACCTTTTGTAAAAAGTGGTAAAAATGAGCACCCCTATTACATTCCTGATCTCAGGGGAAAGGTTCAAATATTTCCCTATGAAGAATAGCATTTGCTATAAGATTTCTGAAGATATTTTATATCAGATTAAGAGAATTTCTTTATATTCCTAGTTGTCCAAGTGTTTTCACCATGAACTGGTATTTAATTAGATTATACCTATTGAAAAAACATAAATTAATAAAATAAAATAGACAAAATATTGATGACAATGTGTAATCTCAAAGTCTGATATCCTACTGGTAGAAACTGAAATCCTACTGGTAGAAACGTAAAACGGAACAAATCCTTTGGAAACAATCTGGCAATACCTACTAAAGACCTAAGTCCACTACTATGTAAATATGATCAAGAGAAATACTTTGTATTTACCAAAACGTGAACATGTATATACAGTATAGCCAAAAACCACAAAACTAACCAACTGCCTATCAACAGAACAGATAAACTCTTAATATACTCACAAAACAGCATACTAGAGAACAATAAAAAAGCAATGAACTACAGTATCAATATTGGTCAAATCTCATAACAAAATGTTCAGATTAAAAAGCCACACATAATAGAGATACTGCCATAAAATTCAACTTATATAAATTTCAAAAACAAGCAAATTAATATATAGCATAATGAGATTAATTCTCCTTGGGAAGATAGTGACTCTGGAAGACAGTATTAAGGATGGTCTTTTATGGATTTAGATGCTAATTACAAATGTATATTCTCCTCATAAAAACATCATTATGCATGATTTGTTCATTTTTCTATACATATCTGCTATGTATACGTGCTAAAAAAGAATCCAGTGACTTGAATAAAGGTACTTTGATAGATTCAAATTATGAATGCTTCTATCATGTTATATTATACTCATCTGAACATCTTTTTTTGGTCAATGAATGGATAACCTCTCTACTTGATCTCATACATGAAGTCCAAAATTTTTCTATTTACTTCATCTATGGCTTTGTTCAATATTTAAAGTTCATGTAGAAGGATTTTACCAAGTTTCTGCTGCATGCAAAGCTCTAGCCACTGGAAATATCAAAAAATAAAAACAAAAATAATACCATTTCCTGATAAATCAATTTTCTGTCAATATCTGTTACTTGAAAAATGCAGACATTACAGATTTCCTGAGAAAATTTAGAATATTTTTATGATCTACCAACTTAATTTGCTCTTTCTCAAGATCACATTTGTATCTGATATTACTTTTTATAATTATTTACTGCATTTCATTCACTCTCCTATTCTGTAAATTCTATGAAGACACAGGTTGAGTTTCAGTCACTGCAGTATCCACAGAACTTTTATCAATGTCTGATACTTCGATGGTTTTTAAGAGTTGTAGAATGTTGAAGTTCTCAGTCTGTTTCCCATTCACTGCTCCAGATTATTCTTCCAACCAAATTACAGAATTTAAATGTGTTCTACTTTATAGTTTTCAAGTAGCTTACTAAGATTCTTTGAGAGTTACTAACCAGAAGGATTTCTGCCTACATAAGGGCACCTATATAAGAAGTAACATGTTGAGGGCAAATTTTTAAGAGAGTTTAGTTACTACAATGTTTAGGTCATTATTAATAAAACTAGAAACAGGAAGATCAATCATTGCAATAGTCTAGATATGAGAGTAAAGGTTATTAGATTTTAAGTAAAGGAATGAGAGGAAGAAGAGATGTTGAAAAAGTTTAGTAAAGGAAAAACTAACGTCATTGCACAGATTTCTGTATTAATGCGACTGTATCACCTGCTAAAATCATTTGGGTTATGTATGCATGTAGTACACAAAGGTACATATTTAAAGATTACAGGAAAAAAGCTAAACATAAATTTACTCAGCTTGCTTACTATATACCTTGAAGTCCAATCTTCAAAATAGCTCTTCCATTTCCACCGTAAGTTAAAGAAGAGATAAGTGAAAGTTTTCCCTGAAATGGGAGAAAAAAAAATTAGTTAACAAAGAGAGAATTTTATGTAATACCAAGATATTAGTAAAAATTAGAATTTTTTTTAAAAGCATTAGAATTTTATCTTTTGTGAATGCTCTCAAAACCAAAATAGAATTGCTTTATATCAACCCTAACTAGTTAAATAAACAAATAAAGCCACTGGAGGTTTCTGACAAGAGTTCCTAATTATGACTTCTGACAGTTGTGAAGTCACAACTCTGCCAGAACCAAAACTTTGTGCAAATGCTACTGCAAACTTTTACAAAAATACTTCTTTGAGGATATCTGCCCAGCATCTGTCTGTACAAACTGGTGTAGACCCTGTTATTAATCTCTGTGGCTGAAGATTATTGTCTCAAAATATATAATTTTCCTCACGTTTTGATTAAAAACTTCTCCTTGTGCCTGAAGTTCCTAGAACATGTTCATAGTTGACTATGGATACAAATTTTCCTGTAATGCTATTCTATTCCCAAATAAGCTTAATTAATCTTTAGAGAATCTGTAATTTTTATTGAGGTTGGTCCTTTCAAGAAGTCAACATATTGTGTTCAAAAAATTTTTCTAAGACATTGAATACTGCTGAATAAATTTTTCTAAGGAAAAATTTGAGGGTGTAAAAATACTTACTTAATAATTTAATTTTTTAAACAATCCTATTAGTTAAGATACAGGGAAAGAAATATATCAACTTTACCCAACTTGGTTTTAACCCATATTGTTCTCTAACAAAAATAAAAAAAATAAATAAAATTTGAAAAATAAGGTTTGCTCTAGAAAGGAATGAAAATCTAAACAAGAAAACTTGGTAGTGCAAAATTATCTCATAAAAAAATAGTGGAGGGCTTGGGATGTGACTCAAGCGGTAGCACTCTCGCCTGGCATGCGTGCGGCCCGGGTTCGATCCTCAGCACCACATACAAACAAAGATGTTGTGTCCACCGATAACTAAAAAAATAAATATTAAAATTCTCTCTCTCTTTAAAAAAAATAGTGGGGATAAATCAATATACTAAGACACAGATACAGGTTAGCCTTTGTTCTACTCTGTAACTAACCAGTCTGTCTGATTTACAAAGTTATTAATCAGAGTCTCAGATAAAATAAAGTGCTTAAATCTGAATGGTTTCTTACTTTCTTATGGCTTTAAAACTTAAGGATACTTTGAATATATTATGAGGCTCTTACAAAACTTCCATAAAGGTATCTATTTTACTTATTGAATACAGTTTTTAAAAAGATCCTAAAACACACACCTCCCACCCTAATAATATTCCAGACATTTATACAGTCAACAATAAAAAGAAATCAAGTTTATTGATGAGACAGAAATCAATATTGGTTATAAGTCAATTTTATTTGGAAAACAGTATTCCTAAATAAATAAGAACATGGCTATGAAGAATACATAATAAGGGGCTGGAGTTGTGGCTCAGTGGTAGAGCACTTGCCTAGCATTTGTGAGCACTGGGTTTGATCCTCAGCACCACATATAAATAAATGAATAAAATAAAGGTCCATCAACATCTAAAAATTAAAAAAAAAAGAATACATAATGATTCAAAAGTAAAGATAAATAGTTCTGCTTTGGAGGTAGAAAGCTAGAGACTGACAACAAAAAATAAACAATTTGCAAATTTCAAAACTTTTTCTTGACCCATTAAAGAGCTGAGGTCACATGTCAAACAACTAAGGAAATCTAAACAGAAAGTGCTCTTTCAGTGAGAGATGACAGACAACACTTTCTCATCTGGGAAGTGTTATAACACTTGCTTACAGGGCAGATGCTGCCAGATTATCTGTTAGAAAAAATCATCTGACCTTTTTAATGAACTGTTAAAAACCAAGAAAGGCTAGTGAGCACAAACAGAGCCCCTGGGAGCTGTAAACACAAGGGAATTCACATCCACTTATAAGTTTCTTTCCACAGAACTGACAAGATTCACACCAAAAGGTGGGGCAAGGGTGACAGGAGTTACTACAAGAACTGGAGGACCCCTGCTTGGATCTTTCTCATCAACCTTTTTTTCAGAAGAAAAGCATGATAATGCTGGGAAAAGGGCAATAAACCTGGAATAACTTTGGTGAAAACTCACTGTAGGTAGAAGGGAGCTACTGAGGGAAAAAAAAAAAAAAAAAAAAAAAAGAAAAGAAAAAAGAAACTTCTACTCCTGCAACGGATGGTCAGGAACAGTAATACCCATACAAGGTCCAGACCTGCATCTAGGGGCATGGCAAGATCTTGGAGAAGGACCCACTCACAAGACCCAGGAACTCTTCACTGCCTGCCAAGATAGGCTTAATCAGAACAGAAAGCATCCACCCATCAAAGACCAATACATATCTAGTAAAAGATAACATTGTCTACAACTAGGAGAGAAGTACTACAGCATGGAGAGACCTTATCTATAGAATAGAGCAAGGCAAAAACCTAAAACTAAAGATGAAGAAGACAGTGAGCAAAACCCTCTGGCCATTCCGCCTTCTTCCTACATACAAAGTTAATCTGCAGCCCACAGCACACTGAAATAACCATAGTAACAACAAATCACAAACTCAGCCCTCTTATTGACTAGATTAGTTTAATGCACCACATACAGTTTCAGGAATAAAACTATCTGCTTCAATTTCCATAGTCCTATATAAGGTGCATGGCTTTCAACAATATATTTGAGGCATACAAACAGGCAAGAAGTAACACTGTCTTAGACACAAAGCAACCAAGGGAATCACAAGAAGATTACATGAGATTAATCAAAGCAAATGGCTTTGTTCCTCTTACATGTGGTCCAACTAGAAGAAAGGTCTGGGTGAGAGAAGAGAATGATCAGAGAAAATATGAGTTTCAGTTACTGGAATGAGACAAGCTGGTTTCATAAAGTTGGCACCCTGGAGAGAGATCCCTGGAACCAGGGAAGGGATATGAACACTTGGGACTAGCTAGACTTGGGAAGGGAATACTAAGACCCCAGAGGTATAAGGAAGGGGAGATTAATGACCTATGTCAGAACTACTCAAAGAGCTTTCCCACAACCCAAAAGAGAATGAACTAGTGCTACTTTCACAAACTGCTGGGAAATTTGCAAGTAAAATAACTATAGACCCTATTATCATCCACCACCCCAGGGCTCTCACAATGAGGTTGGCATGGCCAACCTCCTACACCTTCAATGGAGAATAGCTCCAAAAGTTCTCTACATTTAGGGTAAATGAACTGGTCAGGCAGGACAGATTTAAATGACCGCCCTCAAGCAGTGTCTCTGGAAACTAGATCTAAATTGAATTACTGGGACTGAACTGGGGGCCAGAGGCCTTACCAGTGGCAGACCTCATAAGGGACCCTATCAACTCACACTGATCTATGTCCTTTTAGGAAGGGCTCCCAACAATTGTAATTTTGTTTCCAGAGATGAAAAATGTGCCCTTGAGATTGTGTTTCTTGTGTGAAAGACAGAAAACCACACAAACAGTGTGATGTGCACCCACAAGTAGTCTATAAACATTTAAGTATTTAATATAATTCCTTTGGTTGATACAATAGCCCTTAGTTATATATTATCTTGACAGCTTTACCTACAATGGGAGTTACTCCATAAGGAAGGTGGTAGGAAATCTCACACTGCCTCAGCTGAAGTGAGCAAACATAAATGGAACCTGAGTTAAAGAACAAAAGCTTGGAAGTTAAAGGATAACTGACCAGTAAGAGACTTCAGAGTGACTTGCATCCAAGTTATGTGTTCATCATTTAACAGGAGATAAAACCCGGGGCCACTCCTTTATATTCCTTCCAAATGATATATTTACATTAAGGAGATGATATTTCTCTACCACGGAAGAGTGAAGTTGAATAGTTGTCCTACATAAACTCTACATAGGATCTATGGGATCCTTTCTTACAGTACAAGAAATCCCCTTTACATATGGTAGGAAGACATCAGGTGCTCATTACATTGCCCTGAATGTTATTGCTAAGATAAGCTGAGGTACAGGGTGTACAAGAATAATATTAATCTGCCTCTACTCTAGAAATCTGTTTGCTTTCAGAATAAAAATGAAGACAGACATAAAAATGTAATACCCCATGTTGTGGACTGAATCATGTTACCCTAAAATTTATCTGTTGAAGCACTAACCCTCAGTACTCCACAATGTAACTATATTTAGAGATTTTTAAGGAGGTAATTAAGTTAAAAAGAAGCCATTAGGGTGGGCCCTGATCCGATGTGATCAATGACCATGTAAGAGAATAGGATACACAAAGCGACACCAGGAGCTCACACATGCATAGAAGAAAAAAGATACAGTAAGAAGATAAACACCTATAAGCAAAGGAAAGAAGCATCAGAAGAAACCAAACCTGCAGACACCTTAATCTTGATCTTCTCTCCTACAGAAATTATGAAAAGATAAATGTCAAAGCACCCCAGTCTGTAGTATGTTATGACAGCCCTAACAAACTAAAACACCCTGTTAAAATACAAGGGTTTCCTCACCAGCTGAATCTACTAAAGTACACCAGGCCAATCTAGGAGGAAAGCACAATAAGATGGTGAGATTGTCATACTGGATTAAAAAATATAATCTAGTTAAAATATTAAAACTGAAAACAAAAGAAAAAAGACATAGCATCCAAAAAGTAAAGATAAAAACTTTGGCAAGGCTTGGCCAGGTGTGATGGTACATGCCTGTAATACCAGTGATTTGGGAAGCTGAGGCATGAGGATCACTAGTTCAGGGCAACCTGGGCAACATATCTAAACACTGTCTCAAAGTAAAATAATAATAATAATAATAGTAAAAAAACAACCCTAAAGATGTAGCTCAGAAGTAAAATTCTCTTGGGTTCAATCCCCAGTACTACAAAAATAAAATGTAAAACATAAAAATAAAAATGCTAGCAAGGCTTTGTCACCGTCAGACAAAACAGATCAAAGAAAATGAGCTAGCAAAGATCAAACAGGGACATCTCATAATGATAAAAGGATCAAACCATCATGAAGACACAACAATGCTAAATATTTATGCACTTAATAAGTTTTAAAATATATGAATACTCACATAACTAAACAGACAAATCCATAATCATAGTTGAATTTAACAATCATCTCCCAGTAATTTACAGAACAAGCAGAAATTAAGCCACTTTGAATATGAAAGACTCAAATACACCCACCACATAATTTTATACAACTGACATTCATAGAATACTACACTTGACAACAAAGAATAGATTTTTCTAGAGACCATATGCAGGCTCACAAAGAAGTCTTAATAAAGTTTTTAAAAATCTGATAATCTTGCAGAATATAATTACAAATCAACAACAACATATTCAGATACATCCCCAGTCTAACATTATCAATGCTTTCTTCAATCTGATATCCTCTTTAACTACCATCTTTCCTCAATCCATTTCGTCACATCAAAATTCATTTAAAATAAAAAGGAACAATAAATTATAAGCTATAAAGCAGAAAAGTGATACAAATATTTTAAAATTCCAGGAAAATAACCTAATTTATAATTAACACTGTGTGACATATCTTTACTTTTTGTTTTTTGTTATATACTCTGATAATTTTTTCATGTTAATTTTAAAATATGGTTTCTACAGAGTATAGACTATTTAAAGAACAGAAAACTGTTATCAAGTTTGAGAAAACTCCTATTAAGTTTCATTCATACGTAAATTGTAAGATTCATAACATTTCTCCTCAGACTAGCCTCAGGATCTACGTGATTAAGTATTTATTTTTTCCTTCACTAACTATACATAAGTATCATGGTTCAGTGGGACAGAACATATTCACAGCCTTACACAATTTCAGGTCCATTACCTTCCTCCTTCTTCTTCTTCCTTTTTTTTTTTTTTTTTTTTCTTAGTACGAGCAAGTTGTTAAGAGTGATTTCCCATAATACTCTGGCTCACTGGACAGCCTTGCAAAAAGGTAAGGGGTCTATCCTCAGGTGTGGTGGCACACAGAGGGAGGCTGAAGTAGGAGGATTGAAAATTGTAGGCCAGCTTGGGTAATTTGGTGAGACACTGTCCCAAAATAAAATTTCAAAAGGGCTGTGGATGGAGCTCAGAGGTAAAGTACTTGCCTGGCATATGCAAGACCCTGTGTTTGAAGTGGCACCCCCTTTATCCACCATGGCTGATTTTAGGACTGTCAGCAAAAGAGTCTCTGAGAAAGAGTCCAATGTAGATAAACTTCCTATTTTCATGTCGCCCTGTTTACTTGGCCACTGGCAGAGAAGATACCAGCACTCCAGGTGCTGGACACCCCCTTACTAGTTTTTCACAAACATATCCAGTATAGTACTTTGAAGAAATGTGCAAACAAGGCCTCTGGCCTTGAGCTGGGGTTTCACAGAGATGTCTACATTTTTAAGATAAGTTACAAATGGGCTCCATGGTAACAGCTGGCAGGGGGAGACAAGAAAGGGGAAAAGAAGCTCTCCCCTTCTCAGGTGTTGTCCTTGAAGAGTTAACTTGCCCAGAACAGTGAAAGAAAAAGCTGCTTTTAAGTGAACTTTTGCAGATTGTGAACTTCTGAGCCCCTCCCCTTACATGCTGGGTATAAAATTCTGAAACTCCCTGAACTCAGGGTTCAGGGGATTAACTGATTATAGCAAAAGCTGTGCCCTCTGAACCTGGCTGAAGCCAAATAAAACTGTTTCCTGCTATCTTTGATGCCTTCCCTCGTTTGTCCCTACAACAGGTTCACTCCCGGCTAGCAATATCAGAGACTATCCACGAAAGTGACTACACGACACATAAATACATCTCCCGAAACCCAAACTAAATATATTTTATAAGACAACTTCTCCATAGCTAGAGTCAAAAAAGAAAAAAAAAAAAATCTTAGTTGCTCCAATGACATTTAGTATAAGAGAAAATATGATGGAGGAGATGAAAAGAAATTGTAGCCTTAAACATCTGATAAAACAACTTATTTTGGCAAATTAAAAATCTATATCAATGTGTAAAATAATTTCTAACGCCTCTGACAGCATGGTAGAAGGGCTTATGCAGGTGTAAGAGTCTTTGAAGGTTGCTCTAGTCAGTAAAACTAATTATATAGTATCTTCATCTACACAGATGAGGATTAATAGTGCCTATGCCTATATCATTGGTCTTAGTGATGATTAAATGAATTAATATACATAACGCACCTACAAAAGGAGCTCAATAAATATTAACTTTTGTTATTATTTTATTGCTGTTTTTTCCACATTTATCTCCTTACCATTATCCCCACTAACACTCAGATTATTATCAAATATCACCTAGATTACTGTAACTGACACTTACTAAATATCCTTCCTCTGATTTTTTAAAATACAATATATTCTTCACACAGGAAGTAGAATAATTTGAATGCAAAGTGAATCATGTATTTTTCCTGCTTAACACCTGCTGAGAGCCTTCATACTTTTATGGTAACATCCAAATTCCTTAACATGCACATGATTACAGCTTTTCCCCAAAAGAAAAAGAGAGAGAGAGAGAGAGAGAGAGAGAGAGAATCTATCATCCTGTAAATTCCAGTTCAACTTTCCTGCTAACATATGTAAACCAAAAACTCTCTCATGTTCACATCATATGACTACCACACTTAGTAATAAGAATTAGAGATTGAGCAATCCTATCAAACTCCTCAAAAATACAATCACCTTTAGTTCCCCACAATATTTATTCATCTATGTATCTCAGAAACCCACTCCAATATATTACAAAATTCTAAAAGTTTGCTACGGATAATTATGCAGAACTTGTTGAACTATTCAGTCTCAACTGTTAAGACAAAGATAAAAGCCATTCTTAAGACAGTTCTCATAAAGAAAATGAACATAAAATTCTCATTCCCTTTAGAAAGAAAAAGCATTGTGAGTTAAGAAACGTCTTACCTGAATATATTTCTTGCTATAATCACAACCTGGCTGTAGAGATCTGAAATCTACCTTGTGTAATTTACTCAGCTGCTGAACTTCAGGCACCCCACTGACTTCCTTTATTAATTCAAGTGGCATATCAATTCTGCTTCACAATGACATCCAAAGCAAATTCAACTAGGGAAGTTGACAGCTTGCTGCTAAAGACACAAATACCAGTGTTTTATCCAAAACATACTCAAAAAATAAGTCTCTTTGACTTGTTTGGCTTTTCATTTTTTTTAATAAGATACTTATCGCTGTTGGGGTTGAAAGAGTGGCAGAATGATGGATTACTTTATAACCTTATTATAATTACCAATATAGAACATTCTAAGGAATGGAGACAATTTCTTTTTTCCATTTAGCGTTTGCATTTAAAATACCTCTAAAAGCTAGCTTTAAGAAGTGTCAGAAGTTCACTAACAAACTTCACCAATGTATAACTAAAAGCAATTGGGGAGGAGGTGCTGAAAGTTTGGTTTTTGTTTTTCAATACTCCTGACAATTGTAATATTGTGTAGGCAAACTGCAACAAAGCATCTATTGTTGCTCCACCCTCCATCCCCTATATAATCCAAAGAAAAGATAAACTGTTGTTAACTTGCGGACTGGCAGTTAAATCCTACTTCTCAAATGTTGACCTGGAACACTGACTAGTATGGATACTTAACTTTAACATGTACCCGCCAACCTTGCCCAAGCTACTTCATTTCCGTTAGATCAAGGACTTGTACGTTGGTTTCTCCCAAAACACCAGCCAAGATGCAGCGCACAGCAGGTTCACCATAAACACACTTAAGGAGAGTTTCTGCGAAATTACCACATCAATGTGGATCTAAACGAAATCAATCTCTAAAGAATGCTGATCCAAGGTTCAACCTACCTCTCACAGACGCAGCAAATTCCAAAACCACTTAAAAAGTCACTCACTCACAAGCTAGAAAGAAAACTAGGAAGAGTTTAGAGACCGGCGCGTCCGTGACGTCACGCGCACGCCGGCGTCTCCGCCTTCGCGCGTGCGTACGGGGTCACTAGGGGGCTAACCAGCACTGGTGGAGGACAAACTGCGCCCGTTCCCAGGCCTAAGGCGCCCTAGAGGTTTTCTGAAATATGTAAAGGAAAGGGGCGGGGGAGGGCCTACAAGCCCCACCCAGTTTGTTCATATCCATCCAAATTCTCGCCGCTCCTCCTTGCTCCACCCCTCGTCAATTTCCCGCCTTCTCCGCCGGAGAAAGCTGGTGAGCGGATCCTGTGGGCTAGGTGATTCCTAAATCCTGTATCCAATAAGAAGCCATCCAAACCAGGGCAAGAGTGGACGTTTCATTTGGTGAATCGTAAGCTCATGGGAGCTGAACTTTTAAAATTTCTTACCCGAAGACGTATGCTCCTGAATGCAATTTTTACAGAGAAATATTTTCGAGTATAACAATGTTCTTTGATAATTTTTATAGCAGGTTTCAGGCATTGACATAATGAGTTATGCTATTTTCAGGCAAATTTGATTTAAACTTGCCATTGGTTTACAATGCAATGATAAGACAAAATGTGAAATGTGAATTATCCGCTAATTTCCAATGTTTTTGAATCATTTGATTTACGTGAAACCATAATGTAATAAAGAACTACATAAATATTTTCAAGACTGGTTTGGACTAAAATGTCTGCTTTGGGTGATATTTGCAGGAAGAAATAGTTCACTGGTTGTCAAGTACCTATTTTTTCAACAGGAAGCATTCAAAACAAGCCCATCTTCCCTTTTCCCTCCCCATATCTGGATTCACATAACATACTTAAGCCAGGGGGAATAACTGACAGCTCAGGAGCTGCCACTGGAGGAAAACCATAGGCTCAGATCATATCCTTGTTTCTCCTTCCTAAATGAATCCCTACTCCTGAGCTTTGTATCCCAACCACTTTCATCTGACCTCTGTCAACAATAGTATACTCTCAACATGTTTTCAAATTTCTCTCCTTACTCATTCTTTCCCAGCTGCATTTTAACACTTTAGTTTAGTATCCCAAGCTTATTAAGAACAGGAAGAATTGTTTACTATTATATCTGTGGGTCTTATGCAATTTCTGATGCATCATAGGTGCCGAATCTTTGAACAATGCTCAGGGAAACTGTTTTTCTTTCCTCACCTCTAATTTACACTCTTCTCTCCCCTCCCATCTTCACCCCATTACACTGAAACTTAGCTTACCTTGACAAAAACACTGAAGACTTCTTTGTTGCTAAGACAAAAGGACATTTCCAGTCCTTTTAGAAATTTCCATAAAGGCAGGTTTATTTGATGATTCTACAGGTAGTTTCATGTCACACGTAAGTTTGATGTCACAGTTCACCATAGGGATACACACCTATGGGCCTTTTTTTGCAGGGCACCATGTCTTCTAAATGTTGGCTGCTCAGATGATATATTTTTCTAGGCAATCAACCAACTTTCTAAGAATTTAAGACTCCATAAAAATGTTATAATTACTGTAATGCTTCTGAAAAAAGAAAGATTGGGGATCTCTTCTAATCTAAGGCATATAATCTAATTTTTCTAGATATATATCTGCCTCCTTCAAAGTACAAAGAAAACCTTAAAGGCAAATCAGTGAATTTTATGACCTGCCACTAAAACCCACACTGAATGCACTCAGGACTCAGACTCAGCTATTTCCCTGAGAACCTGTGAAAGATCAAGGCTTATCTCAGCATTGAAGCAAGACTAGATATTTTTTTCTTCCATTTCCCTTTCTCTCTGCTCAAGGCATTCTTATAAGAATTTATGTATCTGGAGTTTGAAAGGGGGTGGTATAGGGGGATGCATTATCTGATTATCTGAAATGTAACAATCCCTTCAGTTTTAATTCAGTTTTTTTTTAGTTCAAGCAAAATTTAGGTTAATACTCTGTAAGTATAATTTATATTATCATTCCTTTCTTTAAAATGAATTTTATCCATGTAGTGTAGTAGCTTCATTTTAATTCTTTTTATTCATACAAAAATATAAAAATAATGTCTATAAAATATTAATATGTTGTCAAGTGCAGGATTTGAGTGACTAATTGCTTTCTTCTTTAAATTAAAAATTTTACTATTTCATCACATAACTAAAGATATCTAAGCTCAAATGGTTTTTTTGAAGACTACACATTGTATAGCTAAATACATTTTACTTCAAAGATTATCTGTGAAGTGGTACAAGCCTGTAATCCTAGCAAGTTTGGAGACTGAGGCAGGAGTTCAAATCCAACCTCAGCAACTTAGCAAGGCTCTAAGCAACTCAGAGACAGACCCTGTCTCTAATAAAATATAAAAATGGGCTGGGTATGTGGCTCAATGGTTAAGTACCCCTGGGTTCAATCCCTGGTACAAAAAAAAGAAAAATAGATTATCTGATAACCAGTGTACATTTTGGATTTTTATGCATATAACCCTCCACTTCTCTAAGGTCTGTCCTCCCCCAACAGAGTAGTTTCACTATGCTACCATATTAATGTAGTATATTTCATCCTATTCCAGGACGACCAGAGTGATCACTTGATCATTCAACTCATGAGGCAGCCTATCTATTGCCTGAGCTGAGCCAGTAAAATTCTTTCCCTTAAGAAGATGGTATTTGTATAAAGTCAATGGAGCTTGAAACTAGAATTTCAAGGATAAACAGAAGGCTAGGGTAGTCAATGTCCAACAAAGCAAGAAAAGTCAGAGAAAAGTAAACTGTAAAAAAGGTGGTACATAATCAGTAGTACACAAAGAAACAAAATCAAACACCATGAAGCCCCAAAGAAAAAGGCAGAGTAGTTTCCTGAGTTCTTAGTATCTGACATAGTTCTTAGTAAGGAGCTAAATATCCTGCTCTTGGGTTGCATGTGACCCTTTTGAATTTTACCAGTATTTATTAGTTTTTATTTGTTAATTTTTGTTATTTGTTAGCAATAGGGCCATAGTGAATAACACTTAGAACTTTCCAAAATCTATCTTCTAAAGATGTGTACAGAATTATACCACTGCATATCACCTCTACCACTACTGTGATCAAACTCACCATATTCTCTGGACTGGGTTTTTGCAATACCATTCTAGAAGATTCCCTTGATTTTTATTCTCCACCTCCTGTCTACACACAACCAGTGGTGCATTCTCAGTCAAGACATTGTGTTGCATCATTTGCTCCTCTGCTCAAAACACTGCAAGAGCTCCACAATGCTCTGAGAGTCAAAGTCTTCTAAATAGCCTAAAAGACAATATATGCCCTAATCCCTCTGCTATCCTTCTAACTTTGCCTCTTCATGTCTGTTTATTCCAGATTACTCTGGATTCCTTGCTGTTCATGAGGAGTCCACAACAGAGTAATAGAACACTCTTTTCTGACTAATTCCTCCAACTCCAAATATTTTATAAAAATAACCTTCTCAAAGAATCCAAACCGAGCACTATATTTAAAATTGCACACACACACACACCCCTCCAGACATGTGCTGCCATTTTCTTTTTTTTCCCCTAGAGCACTAACGACCTTCTAACACACTGTAAAAATGACAAATGACATATTTAGTTATATTTTACACTAGAATGTAAGCTCCATGGGCTCTTTTGTTCATTTAGTGATCAGCAAGTAATTGATAAATGAATGGTTGACTGAGACATCATGCCTAATGATATGTTAATCAATCTGTCCAGTGATCCACAGGTCCTGTGGACAACACATTTCATCATCTCCAATGTACCAGTGCCTGAAAATTATCAGTATAATTGTTAGGAAGGAAGACACTGATTTTTTAATAGATACCAGTGAGGCTATGGATACTATTAAAAGTAGAAAAATTGCTTATTATGCCAAAAAACGTATAATAGGTGGCTTAAAAGCAATGAATAATAGAGAATCCATATGGCCTACTAATGGTTCAAAGACCCTATTTTGTGAATTATAGGTAAACAAGAAAGATGTTTCATTACGACAATAGTCATAAAGTTAGTCAAAATTCAAAGTTTACCTTTGTTAATATAGATAAGAGACTCCTTAAATTAGAGCATTTCAAATTAGAATATTCAAACAGGAAGTCTATTTTCAATACTCATTGGAGCTGAAGATCTCCCTGTTTCATTTTTGTCTCAGCCTCAGAGAATTATTTTGCACCCACGGTCTTCTGAGCTCCAGCCTCACTTTCTGTGGAGGCTTAGAGATTTGGAATGGATGAAAGCAAATGCAATGAAAATGCCTTAGAGGCATCCTAAGAAATAAGCCATTTGCCAAGGGAAAAGTCAATGGCTGGAAATAGAAAAAAAGAAAAAGAGAAAGAAAGAAAGAAAGCCCAAAAGTCAAGTTAGCACATCTGGGCATCCAAATGTGTGGAGTGTGATTTGTGCAAAAGGAATAAAGCTTGCATTACAGAGGAGAGGAATGGATCATTCAGGTTTGGACCATGTCATGTGGCACTTTGTGGCTCACTGTACAAAAGGCACAGCTTTGGGAAAGACTGTCTCAACAGATATTAAATTACACCAAAGATATACACTGAGATTTTTTTTAAAAAAATAACTCTAATAGGAAAATTCTTTTGAATGATAATTCTTTTGAGTGTTAATTCAGAAAAAAAGATTCTTGGAGAAGCTTGCCTGTAGTAAAAACTCAGTTCCCAACCCCATGAGGTGCCTATGTGTGGGGGAAAAACATGTTGCCTAAATCATGTTTGTTCTTTAGGTTTCTCTGTAGAGATGTGAGTAAAGACAAAAAGGAGAGAAATTGAAATGGAACCAGGGAAAAACCAGAGGGTTTGCATCACTCAAGAGAGATGCCACTCTTTGATTCCCATTCACACACTAAAAACCAAAAACTAGGAAAGTTATTGAGTTCACAAAATTCTTGAGAATATGTGAGAAATTTGAGAAAATCAGTGAGAAGTTTTGTTTATGTTCAGGTTGATACATGTGTAATTCTTGCAGCACACAAAACACACATGAAGAAAAAAAAGAAATAATATCTGAAAACTAACAAACATGAAGGCACAATTTTA